GGCCAGGGGAGCTGGAAGGTAGCTACAGAGCTGGGCCTGGCATTTGGGGGACCCAGATAGGGCCCCTAGTGGACACGGAGCTGCAGGCATGGTCACTGACAGCAGTGTCCTGAGGGAGTGCTCCGTGAGGGGCATGGGCCCACTGCTGGTTCTCTCCCAGGAGACCGGGGAGGCCCAACACAGCCTGTACATGTTCCACCCCACCCTGCCGCACGTGCTGCTGGAGCTGGCCAACGTCTCTACCCACATTGTTGCCTTCAACGGTGAGTGCGGCCTTGGCCAGGGACCCGGGTGTTCCGTGGGGTCTGCTCTGACTGGTCCTGAGCCACCCTGACGGCTGTGTCCCCTACCCTGCAGCTGTCCTGTTTGAGCCAAGCCGCCACGCTGCCTACATCCTCCTGACAGGCCCGGCAAACTCGGAGGCACCTGGCCTGGTCTCTGTGATCAAGCACAAGGTGCGGGACCTTGTCCCAAGCAGCAGGGTGGTCCACCTGGGTGAGGGTGGGCCAGACAGTGACCAGGCCATCAGGGACCGGTTCTCCCAGCTGCGGTACCGGAGTGAGGCATAGAGGCAGGCCAGCCAGAGCATGTGGGAGAGACTCTGCCTGCTAACACTAATCGTCTTGGGGAGTGGGCCCTTCCCCGGCTTTCTGCATTGACTCCTAGACTCCTGGCCCTGGTGATGGTCTCCACTGGGTAACAGCGGCCTTCCCTGTTCTCCGTGATCACACCCAGAGACATGCATGGGTGAGGGGACACCCTGGGGCTCTCTCCTGCCCAGCGTCCTCCCTGGGTCCCCACATAGGGCCTCACTTTGCACCCAGCAGGGTCCCGCTCACACCAGGCAGCCTTTATCGTGGTCTCCCTGGGCCACCTTGGGCAGAGCTGGGCCCTGTAGCACCCTGTCCTTACCCAGTGCCCTCTCCTTGCCAACTTCTCCCCAGGCCAGAGCGGCCAGTGTGTAGGAAGAGACAGGGTGTCCCTGGGACAGGCCATCCCCTACCCCCTCCTGCAGAAGTCCATTCCTCTTTTCCCTCCTGTGCTCTGTCCCCCAAGGAGTCATGGCACTCAGAGTGTGCTGGGCCTGGGGTAGCCTCGGTGTCGCAACTGGAACCTGAGACAGCTTCAGCTTCCCAGCCCTACCCGGAGAAACAGGGGGACCCTCTAGCATGGGTGTGTGACTAGGTTCCTTTGACCGGGCCCTGTGAGGAAGGGGGCTCTGGAGCAGGGGTCTCCCCTGACAGGACGGGTGGGGCCTGCTCTGGAGCAGAGCCCACGGCCACTCACACGTGTCTTTAGTGGTGTTGCAGCATGTTCTGTCTGCATGTGCTATGAATGTCCTGAGGAGCTGGCTGTGTAATGCCTGTTTGGGTCGGTCTGTGCCCTCTCAGGAGACACTGGAGCTGCTTTATCCCAGAAGAGGCCCCTGTGCCCTGGTGGGCATGACAGGCGCCTTGCCTCTTCCCTTCCGGTGCTCACACGCCCCCGGCTGTGTCACCCGATGCAGGGTTCACCTCTGTGCCTTGCTGCTCCTGAGGCCCAGGGCGGCTGTGGTGCTCTGTGCTGCTCGGGCCGCCCAGGCCACGGAGCCCGAGCTTCGTAGCCAAAGCAGCCTGATGACCCCACCCACCAAGGAAGAAAGCAGAATAAACGTTTTTGCACCGCCTGAAAAGCCTGGTCAGGCGTGAGCCTAGCGTCTGTGCGTCTGCCGGTCTCTTTGCCCCCAAAGTAGTAAAATGGATTTGTTCCTGGAGGAGCGACCAGGAATTTGCTGGCCAGCCTGGGTCCAGGTAGGAAGGGCTGCCGAGGAGGCATCCACCCCCACCCAGACCTGCTCAGCCAGAAACTGGGCACCCAGCAATTCTGGCAGCTTCAGGGGTCTCTGGTTTGAGGAACCCTGCCCGACGAGCTGGGCACCCTGGCTCCAAGCAAATGGGTGTGCTCCCACCCGGAACAGACGGCGGCCTCAGCACCGTGTAAACTCTGAGGGCTGGCTAGATACCAGCGTGAAGCCATGACGGTGGGGCCAGGCTGACCTGGGGACCACAAAGGCAGGAGCCAGGCAGTGGCTTCCCTGAGAGGCAGCTGACAGGTGCTTGGGAGAACCCTGCAGGAGTGTCCCGTGGGTGAAAAGCCCTGTTCAGAGCTGTCCGGGTAGTACCTTGTTCCTGTTGCTCCTTGCCACAGGGCACATGGGGACTGAGGCTGAACAGGCGGGTGCCCTCCTGTCAGGAAGCAGTTCTCTTGGCTAAGAAAAGTAACCCAGCCCAAAAGGCCTTGAGCATGAAAGGGCCATAGGGCTCTGGGGACAGGGCCTGTCAATGACAACCACTGGGCAGGCAGTGTAGGTCTGGAGGGAGAGGGGGATGTTCACTGGGGTTGCAAAAGCTGCCCCCAACAGCACAGGAGGGAGTGCGGGGGCTCCCCAAAGGGAGGGGAGACGCCGCAGGTTACAGGAGCAGCCGTGCCCCTGGCCACTGAGATGCAGACAAGTAATGAGCCCCGCCCTCAGAAACAGGAGTTGGGGGGCTGGGCCAAGGGGTATCATTGGTGGTGGACAGAGGTTTCCCTCCCTGCACTAATGGCCTGCACCCCTCGACTGTGAAGAAGGGATTCTTGCCCTGTGGTCACTGTGGGCCCTAGAAGGTCTGAGCTTTGCCATGACATGCCTCTGCAGCTCTGGGGCCTTAGGACAGGCTGCGGACAACTGCCCTCCCCACAGGCCTCCTGAACTGAGTTTCCTCACTTTTCCCCCTCTGGAGGCCAGGGGTCCCCACACTACCCTGTAAGCCCCGGCCCACAGAGTACAGTGCCCCTGCTGTCTCCTCCCAAAGACCAAATGTCCCAAGTCTGCTGCCTGGGTCTGAGTGGGCCAAGTCCCTCCTCCACCATCAACTCCACACACCTGGGACCTGCCCCTCCCTCACCACACATCACATGCATGTGTGATATGCACATGCACACAATACACCCATGCATCGTACTACACATGCACACCACACACTCATAACGCTATACATGCGCAACACATGCATAATACATGCAGGCCACATGTGCATCATGCGTGCTATATGTGCATGCCTCATGCACACGTGTACTGTATACAATCGTGCATGTGCTATGTACACGTGTGCCTCAGCACTACACATGCATCATATGCACATGCACACATTACACATGCATCATGCACTCTACACACATGCATGTGTCTTACACATATACATTCACACCACAAGCTGCACCCACAGCAGGCTGGGCTCAAAGCGAGGGCCCAGGGTCTTTTATTTGTGTGCTGGAAGCTGTTGGGAGTGACTGGACGTGAGCCAGCCCTATTGGTGGGGAGATGGCTGAAGCTGCACCCCTGAAAGCAGCCAGCTGTACCTTCACCAGTCTAGGGGAGCGGTGGGGAACTTGGGAGTCCGGGAGCAATGCCAGCTCACAAAGGAAGGCTTGGGCAGGGGGATCAGTCACACCTGGCAAGGATCCACCCTGTGGAATCAGGGGCCTCATTGTCAGTGGGATGACGTAACGTTTGTGTACAAATCTGGTGGGGAAGCCGTGGCCTGGAGGTGGAAAAGCAGGTGCTGGCACACCTGTGGCAGGTTCTGTAGCACGTTTGGTGAGGGAGGAGCAGGCACAGCTCCAGAAGGCAGGGAGCTCGACGCAGGCTCCCTCCCGGGTCCCCTACCAGGGTCACACTGAGTGACAGCAGAGAGGCTCCTGGACGGGACAGAGTGCATCCCAAGACCTGTGTGTCCGAATCTCATGACGGGTGAGTGGGAGCCACCCATCTGTGCATCTTGCTTCCAGGTAGTTGCTGTTGATTTACTGGTTTTAGAGATGGGCATCGGCACCCAGTGCTGAACTGAAGACCAGAGAAGGCGGAGCTCCGTGCAGCCTTGGTCTCACCTCTCCTCAGGTAGCAGGTGCTGCCCTGACCCAAGCTGAGCCAATGAAACCCCTCCCTGGGAATCAGCACCTGGACCCGTCCCTTCTGGGCAGAGAGGGCTTCCCGGGGGGAGAGAGGATGTGTACCCCACAGCAAGACTGGGCACAGGGGACGCCGTGCTGGGTTCAGTAGCCACCAGGACCTGGGCTGGGAGCGGGGTGGCTGCTGCATTCACACAGGATGCTGAGGTGCAGGGACTAGAGGTGGTAGTCAGGGGCCAGGTCCACTAGGCCACCCCATCTCCTCCCGCAGGGCCACTGGCCGCTGTGGGCTCCACAGGGGTGGGAAGGAGTGCAGGGCTGGGGCTCAAGCGCGGCCTCCGTGTGAACAGGAACATGCTGTGGGTGAGAAGGGGGCTGAGAACAGGCTGGCCAGCTGGTGTCCTGCCCGCCTCAATGCCCAGTGAACCTTCCTCTCTCCAGCCCTACCCTGCCCACCAGGGCCCCAGCAGCCACAGGGCACCACCTAGCCTCACCGTTTCTTCGTCTCCAGCAGGACCCCAGCCTCTGCCAGGAGGCCCCTGTACATGTCGGACTTCAGGAATCTTGGGTAGGAGTCCTGCAGGAGACAGCGTCCAGCCCTGACCCCTTCTGCCTCCTCACCTCTCAGCCAGCTCCCCATGAAGGTGCAGCCACGCACTGCTGGATCCTCCTCCAGCCATAGTCGCCAGTGGACTGGGTGCTGGAGGCAGCCACCCCAGACCTGCCCAGACCCAGGCAGACTCAGGGACACCTGAGCTCCTGTCTGCCTGGGCCACGTCGCAGCAAAGATGGCAAGAGCCCTGGTGCCCTTGTGTGGAGAATAAACCACAGCACCTCCACAGCCGTGGCCAAGAAGCAGGAATGGCTCCATGTGTCCCACAGAGTGAGGGCAGAATTGTGGAGTCAAATAAAAAAAATCAGGCCGTGCTTGGTGGCTCATGCCTGCAGAGCCAGTATTTGGGGAGGCCGAGGTGGGCTTATTGCTGAAGACCAGCCTGGGCAACACAGTGAGATCCCATCTCCACAAAAAAACCAGAAATTTGCCGTGTGTGATGTTACATGCTAGGAGGAGAGCCAGGACGCCACCATAAAGTGCCAGGGACACACAGCACAAGCCTCGGGCCAGCAGCCACACGTGGGCCATGCGAATATCATGAAAGAATAATGCTGGGTATGGTGAAACTCATCAAATACCGTGAAATCTGAGTCTGCAGTGCTATTAAAAACATCCAGCACGGGCGCAGTGGCTCACGCCTGTAATCCCAGCACTTTGGGAGGCTGAGGCGGGTGGATCACCTGAAGTCAGGAGTTCATGACCAGCCTGACCAACATGGTGAAACCCTGTCTCTAAAAAAAAAATCCAAACACGGTGGCTCACCCCTGGAGTGAGTCCCAGCACTTTGGGAGGCTGAGGAAGGAGAATCACTTGAGTCCAGGAGTTCAACACCAGCCTGGGCAACATGGCAGAACCCCTCTTCAAAAGATTTTAAAAATTAGCTAGGTGTGTTAGCATGGAGAGGCTGGTCGGCAGGAGGCTGGCATGTAAGCCTGGGAGCAAGCAAAGACTGCACCCAGCTGGAAATTTTCAAATATCAACAAAAATAAAGCCAGGCTCAGTAGCTCACGCCTGTAATCCCAGCAATTTGGGAGGCCGAGGCTCGTGGATCACCTGAGGTCAGGAGTTCGAGGCCAGCCTGGCTAATATGATGAAACCTCATCTCTACTGAAAATACAGAAGTTAACCAGCCATGGTGGCATGCCCACAGTCCCAGTTACTCAGGAGGCTGAGGCAGGGGAATCGCTTGAACCCGGGAGGTGGTTGCAGTGAGCTGAGATCGTGCCACTGCACTCCAGCCTGGCTGACAAGAGTAAGATGCTTTCTTTTAAAACAAAAAACAAAAACCAAAAAAGGCTTGGCTTGGTGGCTCACGCCTGTAATCCCAGCAATTTGGGAGGCAGAGGTTGCAGTGAGCTACTGCACTCTAGCCCGGGTGACAGAGTAAGACCCTGTCTCAAAAAAACACCTTTTGGATTGAATCTTGACCCTTATTAAGCATGTGATCTCGGCCAGTCCTTCAGCCCTTCTGAACCAGAAGTGAGCATTGGGATTTCCTGTTGGAATCCCAACAGGAAAGCAGCCGGTGCGGTGCAGCCCCGAGGACAACCCCAGCCAGCCCAGCCGGGGGGAAGGCGCCCCCCAGGAGCAGAGTCAGTGTGCGCAGTGAGTATGCGGACTGAGCTCTCAAGGGTGGGGACGTGGAGGCCCATCTGGGATGCCCCTGCCCGCCCCCTCCAGGCTGGCCGGCACCCACCTTCTTCATGAGCATGTATATGTGCAGCTGGGCGTCGTCCAGGACGTAGCGGTGGGGCTGGCGCAGCCCCTCCAGGGTCCGCTCCATGGTCCGGCTGTCAATGTTGACCCAGCGGGCAGCACCGGGTGCCAGGAACTGCCTAGGGGTGGGCACAGCATTGGACAGTCCTGGCTGGGTACACCTGCCCTATTGCCCAACCAGTGCCCACCACATGGCACTTACTGGTACACGGCATCCACCAGGGTGGGGACCTGGGCCTGTGCTCCACAGCGAAGCTCCTCACACGCCTCCCAGAAGCTGAGGTTTTCTCCTGGGGGGCCGGGTCACCCAGTCAAGGATCCCATTGAGAGTGGCAGCCAGAGCCGGCCGGGAGGGCCCCAGACTGGCTGGGCCAGGAGAGGTCCCTAGCTGGGGGCTGGTGGAAACCGAGGTGGGAGGGTCCAATACTGGCCGGCCAGGAGGGGTCCCAAGGGGACTAGTGGAAACCAAAGCAGGCGGGCCCAGGCAACAGCCTCTCTGCTGGGACTGGAGCAGGAGTCCAGGGGAATCCTCACCACTGAACTCCTTCCCCAGAAAGTCCATGAAGTGGGCCCGCCCCATGGGGTCCTCCAGAAGCTCTCGGAAGCTGAAGCCCCATCTCTCCACACGGAGCTTCGTGGGGGCAGCCACCCTGGGGGGAGGGCGGGGTGTTGGGGAGGATGGGCAATGACCCTTCTGTAGCTCCCCAGGCTGGGAGCACACCCCTAGTCCCCCTGCCCCGCCTGGGCTCACGTGGGGGCATTCATGACCCAGTAGGTGTCATCGTCTGAGATCCAGGGGTTGCTGGGCAGGCACCCTGACACGAGGGGGTCGTGGGGTCCATGCTGGTCACAGAAACTCAGGTACCTGGAAGGGGGTATCCAGGCTGGTGCAGGAGGGCCCTCAGGAGCCAGGGCACTCAGCTTGGGTCTCCAGCTGCCACCCCTCACCCCACTCACGCCTCAAGACAGACAGAGGACTTCACTCGGGTCCTGCCCAGCGCTCTCCTGCAGTATTCGATCTAGGATGTGGGGCCTGAGTCAAGTCCTGGGCTGGGGAAGGGACCCGGCACCCTCCGCTCCCAGCCCCAGCACTTACCTCCCGCTTATAGAAATCTGCACTCTTGATCTAAAAGGGGACAAGTGGGCTGCCGTTAGATGTAAGTCCCCTGCTGGGGGCACCTCCCCAGGCTGAGCCCCGGCCCCAGAGACCAAGGCTTAAGTCCCCCAGTCCTGCCCCTTGGAGCCCTGTCTTCCAATCAGGGGTCTGACTTTCCAGGAGACCTCTGGGGGTCTTAGGTCTGGAGATCTGCAGAATATCCCACCGATTGTGATTAATACGTCCTATTTTCTTTCTTTCTGAGATGGAGTTTCGCTCTCGTTGCCCAGGCTTAGAGTGTAAGGTCTCAGCTCACTAACACCTCCGCCTCCCGGTTTCAAGCAATCCTCCTGCCTCAGCCTCCTGAGTAGCTGGGATTACAAGCGTGCGCCACCACACCTGGTTAAATTTGTATTTTTAGTAGAGATGGAGTTTCACCATATTGGCCAGGCTGGTCTCGGACTCCTGACCTCAGGTGACCCACCCACCTCGGCCTCCCAAAGTGCTGGGATTACAGGCGTGAGCCACCACGCCCAGCCTATGTTATGTCTTTAAATAACACATACTTGAGAAATACTAACGGGAATCACTGGGGAACCAGGTGTGACTCATTGAGCTAGGGCCTCGTGGGGCCCAGAGTGGAGGAGGCAGATGTCCCGTGAGTCCCAGCCTTTGTCCTGCTCTCTCTGACCAGCTTTGTCTGGGGAAATGTTAGAATTATGGAGTTAAGTTTTATCAGTGAGGTTCTGGGTGGATCTGTTTTAGACGTTGGGTCTGGATGAGACTTGAACAAAGCGTTTTGCTGCTACAGGGCTCAGATGCTCCCTCTGGTCCCCTCTGGTTCTAGAGGCCTCCACCTGGAGGGAGGTGGCTGGATCTGCTCAGGTCTGTCAGGTTGTAACTCTGCTCGTCACCCCTCCAATTCCCTGCAAACCCTGATGCTGTCCTGGTCTGGGAGAAGAGCCCCCGTCCTCCCCACCCCCTGCCTGGCCCCACCCCCACCCCCACCCTCACCAGGCCACTCCACTTAGGAGTGGAGAGGAGGAAAAGCGAGACAAGGCAGAGTGACCTGGAGTGAGCCAGGGATTGGGGAGGCTGCACCAAGTGCCCTCTGGGTGGACAGAAGGACGGACAGACAGGCAGCCCCAGGTAGTCCCATGGTGGGTCCAGCAGGGTGCGACAGGTATGCAGGGCAAGGGGGCGGCTGGCACGAATGCAGGGGCTTACCATGTGCACATGGCTGGTGGTGCAGGAGCCCCGCTCTGGACCCTGCTCCAGCACACTGGGGGCTCCGGGCTGCGGAGCGGAGATGAGATGAGATGAGGTGGGGTGCAGTCCTGGTGGCCTGCTGACCCGCTGTCAGGTTAAGTTGCCCCTCCCAGACCCCCACGTGGAAACTGGCACTCAAAGGAACTTGGGAACAGAGTCCTGACCTAGCCTTGAGCTGCCTCTTCTCTGCTCACTGCCCCCGAGTGGCCTGTCCACCAGGGCTCCCCACAGCCCCAGTTGTTCCCAGCCTGTGAACTCGGTCCCCACACTGCAGCCGAGGCAACCCCACTCCGTCCTCTTGAGGGTCTGCAGAATCTGGCATCCCTGTGCCTCTCCCTTGGGCCCAGAGAGAAGCTGGTTTGTGCTGTGGTCTGCGGTGCACACGTGGGTTCTGATCGGTACAAATGCAGCTAAGGCAAAGCGCGGACCTCCTGCCCCAGAAGCTCGCAGGCTTGTCCTTCCATAGGCTCAGAACAGTGGACCCAAGAGCGCCTGTCAGGGAAGCGCTGGCCAGCGACCCCCACCCTCTCCGCAGGTGGGCTCACCGGGGGCCTGTTCACCAGCCAGTAGGTCTGCTCCTGGCACGCGATGACCAGCCTGTCCCCCTTCCTGCGCTGTTTGGCTGCCCTGGGAGGAGGAGGCCACGTTGAGGGCGTGCCCTGCCCACAGCAGCACCTCCCATCCACCCTCAGGCCTGGGCAGGAAGCCACACCCAGGGGTGCCCTCCAGGGTCCCAGGGCCACCAGAGCCTGGCCTGGCCCTGGGCTTCCCAGCTAGCCTGGGCTGGGCACGTGCAGCAGAGTGGGGCGGGGAGCCTCACCTCAGCTGCTCCCTTGCCTGCATCAGCACCAGGTCCCACACATGGCTGATCTTCTTGTGTAACCGGTCATAGCACTCCTAGGGGCAACGAGGTCTCGGGTGGGTCACCCCCGACCCTGGCCCCACCCCCTGTGAGACTGTGTGAGAAGTGGCGGCAGGTAGGGGCAGGGTGTCGGGACTGTCTTGGGTCTTGGGGCCTGGGCTGTATGTTCTGGGGTAAACTGTGAGGCCGGACTGTGAGTGAGGCTTGGGTTCCTCCAGCTGGTGGGGTGGGTGGGGTGGGTGGGGCAGGTGGGGGGTCCCACCTTCTCATAGTCCACCAGGGCCCCCTGCTTTTGGATGTTCTTCTTGGCCAGATAGATGGCTGGAAGGACAGGGGCAGGCTGCAGAGGGCCAGCTCTGCGCTGCCCTGCGGCACCGGAGGCCCCCAATCCTGGGAGCTTGTCTGGGGCCAGCCGTCCCCTTGCTCACCATAGTCCAGCTCCGCAGCCGGCCACAGGGTACTTGTCCAGAAGTATGGGGTCTGGCGTGGTGCAGGGAGAAGGTGTCCAGGAAGCCTGTGTCGGTGCCTCCCCCGTGTCACCCCACCCTCACAGCTCCCTGGGAAGGTGCTTGGCCTAGGCAGGGGGGTGTCTGAGGGTCTCCTGGCCTGCCCACCACCTGGAGATTCCGCTGACCCCTGGCCAGTCTCTCCCCCTAGAATTGAGGTCAACTTGCGCCTCGGGGCCCTGTTCAGGGACTGCCTTCCTCACTGGTCACCCTAAGCCCCACTTCAGGGTGGGGTGGGGTGGGGCCTGCACAACTCTTGGATGTAGCTGCAGTCTGGGCTGGGGGAGTACAGCCTCCGGAAGGCAGGCCTGGGATTCTGATGCGGTTAGGGCGGGCAGGAATGTTGTCCTCAGGCCTCGGCAGCCCCTCCCTCAGGGACCGGGCCCAAGAACCCCTAGGAAGACAGCAGAGTCCTCCGCAGATACAACCCCTTTCGGGGCCATGCTGTGGCCCCAGGAAAACTGAGGCTACATCCCTCAGCCGGCCCTTCTCACCACATGAATGTTTCCGGTCCCGGACTTTCGGGCAGGGGGCGGTGGACCAGCAGCCCACGGTGGCAAGGCGGAGTCCCACTCCAATCCCAGCAAGCTCGGCTCCCCTCCCGTCTCCCCTAGTTGGTAAGCTGGGGGGTGGGGGTGGGGGTCCCACCTGAGCCCCCGAGCCTGACCTGGAACCTGTAGGGCGTGTCATCCGGCCGGAGCACCAGGCTGCGGGGGTCGCGCAGCGGGTAGAGGTAACCATGCAGCACTAGGACGGCGCCCAGGTGCAGGGCCTCTGGGGAGGCGCGGGACGGTGAGCGCCGGGCTGGGGCAGGCGAGGGCGGGACGAGCCGGCCCCCCCCCACCGCGTGCGCTCCCCACCCCGGCGCGCTGTGCAGGGCTCTGAGAACTGCCAGCCCTAGGCCACCAGCCCCGTGACCCTAGGGCCCGGGGTGGGGGCGGCAGGGCGCTCACCCTCCTCCGACACGCAGAACTTCTGGGCCAACCACTGCACGACGTCGCGGCCTGCACGGGAGACACGGAGATGCAGGGAGGCCGGGCGCGCCCGCACCCCCCGCCCCGGCTGCCTCACCTGTCACCGCGTGGGGAATCACGGTGACCAGCAGGCGCTGGCTCCGCATCTTCACGCCCTGGTCGGGGTCCTGCATGCTCACGAC